CCAGTGACCTTTCCTCACAGGAATCCCTTGGTTCTGCCTGAAGGTGGCCGTCTGCCTGGGAGGGACAGGGAGGGTCTCTGGAAGCGTGGAGGGCAGTGGGGGTGGCCAGCTGGAAGGGGGCTCCGTTCCAGTTTCCTGACCTTGCTGCCCGCCAGCTGGGCTCAGCGTGGGAGCACAGAGCCTGTCCTGGCTCCCAGAGGCCACTGTCCTCAGGGGGGCGGGCAGAACTCGTCCTGTCCCCCCCCACCCAGCCCTGGCTGCCCTGGGCGGGCCACATGGCCTCCTGAGGAGAGGCCTCTGCCAGGTGGGAGAGTCTGAGCAGCCCGCTGCTGCCCCCCCCCGGGGGTGGGGGACCAGAGACGGAGGACCCGGCCGGGCTCTCCGCCTTCCCCCCGCAGCTCCCAGCTGGCCCTGGAGCCTCAGCGGGCAGCAGGAAAGGGAGCCTGCGGCCTTGGGAAGGGGGGCCAGGCAGTGGCTCCAGGCGTGGGTGGGCTGCAGGTCTGGGTGTCCAGGCCCCTGCTGCCGGGCAGGGCCACCCCCGCGTCCCAGTGAACCTCTGGAAGAGACCCACACAGACACCACCTGGACACCCAGACAGCGGGTAGGGGTTGGGGGCCACGGGGAGCAGGATGCGGGGGCTCCGAGGTGCGTGCGTCCCTGCCCTGCCTGGCGGGGGAGGGTCAGGGAGGGACGGACCTCTGCCCTCCTGCTGCCCGCCCAGCTCCGGCCTCTCCCAGGCCCACTCCCAGCCACGGGCTGCTCCACTCTGGGAATGCCCTGCTGTCCCCACCTGGGCCCAGCCTGCTGGGGACACAGGGGCTTCAGTGGCCAAATCAGCAGGGGTGCACCCCCCCCCCGTGGAAGCCCAGCCCACCTGGGTCCTGCAGGGCAAGAAAAGTGACCAGGAGGCTGCCCCGAGGTGGAGCCTGGGGAAGGGGTGGCCCCAGAAGAGCCGGGTACAGCTCAGGGACCTGGCGGAGAGGCGCCCTGGGGCAGGGTCCTTGGGGGAAGGGCTGCGTGGGGCCCTCCCTCCTCCCCACTCCCCCGTCCTAGCAGGGCTCCGAGCCCACATGCCCACCCTCCACCTCTGAGTCCCAGGGTCCCCGGCATGCCCCCCGGCCTCCCAGCCCCCACGCGGCCCTGCCTGATGCTCAGCCCCTGCCCTCTGGGTCTCAGGAGCACCCCACGCCACCCCCGTTTCCCAGTAAACCTCTGGAAGAGATCCACAGATGTGGCCAAAAGCCAGCGCCCATGGCCTCAGCCTGTGCCCAGAGCCACCTCTTCCAGGCTGCCTGCCCCTCCCTCCAGCCAGGTCCAACTAGGGACAAATAAAGACAGAGAGGTGGCCAGGCTGGCCAGGCCTCGTGGACCAGCAGGGGACGAGGGTTGGTGGCAGCCCTGCTCCCGGGAGTCTTGCAGGCCAAGGAAGTGGCCTGGCGCACACTGGACGGGAAGCCACCCGCCCACCCCCAGGTCTCCCCAAGGCTGATAAAGCCAGGTGCTCCGAGGCAGGAGCTGGACGGTGGTTCCCAGCGTCCTGTGCTGCTTGCTGATGGCTGTGGCAGTGAGCCCTGGACCCAGGGAGGGAACAGGAGGGGTCTCCGTGGTCAGATGTGTGTGCCTCCAGGGGCAGCAGCTGGCCACGCCCTGGCCTCACACTCTGGAGGTGGCTGGTTTGGACCTGAGCAAAGAAGGGCTCAGGTGGCTTCAGCCTAGCCCTTGGCCTGCCCGCTGCCTGCAGACCCCCTCACCCCGGACCTGGGCCAGAGCTGGGCAGTGTGGCCCATCCATCCTCTGCCCCTTCCCTAGCCACGGCCCGGTGGCTACCTCCTGGCCCAGACTTCGTGTAAGCCCTCCTCAGGGGCCTGGGGGCCTGGGCAAGGCCCCACCCGGCAGAAACATGTCTTTCATTCCAGCACCACCCTCGGCCTCCGCCTCTGGCCTGCGCATGTGAGGCACGTCCACTCGCTGTCCTTGCCCTGGGGCTCTTCCCCTCAGGCCCTGCCGAGTCCCTCCTGCACCTGGACTTTAGGATCATGAGGGCGTGGAGTGACTGGGACACGGGGTGGTGCATTGCTGGCCCTGGGCACAGGCCCGCCGTGGTCACAGAGGACAGTGGAGGCCGCTCACACATCAGCCCTGGGTGGTCTTGGACAGGCAGATGCCAGGCCCAGAGAGAGACCTCCTGGAGCCCTCAGCAGCCAGAGCCTGGGCTGGGGCTCCCTGGGGGCTTCTCAGTGGGCAGCACTGGACAGGGGTGGGCAGTGCAGCTCTGAGGTTGCCCAGCCTTGGGGCTCCCGGGCTGCTGTGGCCACACCTGGCATTGACTCTTCGTCCTCCCTCCTCCTCGCCTGCCCTTCTGTCACCCTTTTCTCCTCCCTCCCCACATGGGTGGGCTCCCATGGGACTTCCGTGTGAAGGGCAGTGGTCGGCCCAGCCTGGCCCCTCAGTCCCTGGCTGGCAGCCCCGGGGTCTGCAGGCCCTCTGGTCAACCCCGGCCTCCACACAGCACCGAGAGGGCAGGACCTCATTCTGGACCACGGCAGGGGCTCTGCAAACACTAATTCTTTCCACCAGCTGCGAACAGGGAGCTCCCCAGGTTACGGTGGACGTCAGCCCCAGGACCACCCCTGGTTACCTCTCGAGGACCCACCCCTGAGCCCGCGATTGGGAGGGCTGGGTGTGGAAGGCACCTTTACAGGGAGCCCTCGCAGGCCACCACCCACACCCCCCCCAGCTCCTGGCTCAGGAGGCGCCTGCCTGTGTTCCTGCCCCGGGGGCTGGCATCAGATGGTGGGGCACACAGGCACCCGAGCCTTAACAAAGGGTAAAGAAGGGGCGGGGAGCGGCCAGAGCCCCCGGGGCCGTACAGAGAATGTGCTGTGCAGCCGCCCAGGGCCTGGCCCTGGAGAGGTGGGCGAGGGGCACTGTGGGCAGGAGGCCAGGGCGGAGGCCTCAGCAGCAGTGGGCTCGGTGTTTTCTAGCATGTCAAGGGCCCCAGTGTGGCTGGAGCAGAGTGGGTGAGAGGCGGGAGCTGGGGACAGGGCACGGGACGGCATGTGTTCTGAGTGACCCGGGCTTGCCCTTGAGACGAACACCCCTCCCCCAGGTAGTGTGTGACAGTGGCCTTAGGCCGCCAGCACTGTGACGGCAGGCTGTGAGGAAGGCTGGGAGCTGGGTCTTCTGGGGAGTCCTACAGACCCAGAACATAAGCCGGTGCCGCCTCCCGGCTGGGCAGGCAGAGGGGATTTGAGGGCCCTGGCACTGGCCTGCAGGGGTCAGCAGTAGAGCGGCTAGTCCCTGGGGCACGACTGAGCTGCAGGGTTGGGGGGTGGGTCATATCAGAGGTCAGTCGCTCAAACTCCACCTGCTGTGTCTATTGTGGGGTGAGTGGGAAGGAAGGGGAACCATGCTGGCCAGATGGCTGGATGGGAAGATTCAGGGAGGGAGGGGGAGGGATACATGGATGGATAGATGGGTGGATGGGTGGATGGATAGGAGGGTGGGTGGATGGATGGATGGGAGGGTGGGTGGATGGATGGATGGATGGATGGGAAGGAGGATGGATGGATAGATAGGAGGGTGGATGGATGAATGGATGGATGGGAGGGTAGATGGATGTTATTAGCTGTGTGATCCTGGGCCAAAACCCTACTCTCACTGAAGTCAGTTTCCCTGTCTGAAATGGCAAAGGTGAGGGGCTGTGCCAGGTGCCAGGTGACATGATGGGGTTAGGAAGGTGCTGCCTCAGAGCCCCTCACTCTGACCCCTGGGTAGGGGCCACCTGGGCTGCTGTGAGTCCAGCAGGCTGTGACAGAAATCCTGGCACCAGTGATATGCTGGGCCACCCTGCCTACCCCTGAAGCCCCACCTGATCCCCAAGTCTAGCAGGAAGGGCTTTGTGCATCTGGGGTCAGGCCCGTGGGAGAAAGCAGAGCCTGTGGCCAGCCAGAGAGAATGCAGTCCTGTTCCCATGCAGTTGGGCAGGGAGGGAAAGGGTCAGCTGGGGTTCCTGGGGAGTGAACAGACGCAGGAGCAGGAGCCTGAGTGTCCGCCCTGCCAACGCCGCCCCTGGCGGAACTGCAGGACGACACTCCACTTGCAGAGCTGAGGTTTCCTCATCTGTAAACTGCGCTGAGACTTGTGGGTTTGGTGCCGTCAATGGTACGTGCCTGGGAAGGGATGACCTTGGCCAGTTGTTCTCTCTACTCAGGTGCAGGGCTGTGAGGGCACAGGAAGGACACTGCCTTTTCTTGCCCACAGCTGGCCTTGGTCCAGAGGAGACGAGACCTGAGCCCCTCCTGAACCAACCCAGCGCAGACTCGCTGGAGGGCAGGGGAGGCCCAGGCAGAGGCCCCTGGTGTCCTGACCCCACAAATGCTCCTGCTGTTGGGACCCAGGGATTGTTTCAGCCATGCTGTAGGCAGGAATGTGGCCCCCTGGGCTGCTGTGAGTCCATGAGGCCACCTCTGAGCACACTGGGCCTCGTCTCCCTGTTCAAGTGCTTTGCAGGCGGCGGCAGCGCCCCGGCCTGGCCTTCCTCGTCCTCTCTGTGGAGAGACCAGCTCTTGGCCTGGGTGACGGGTGGCCATCTCTCTGCCATAGAGTACCATCACCAAAGGGCCAGTCTGGTGGCCCAGCATGTGTCCATGGCCCACCTGGGTTCACTTGGCTGTGGTCAGAGTCCTGCAGACCAGGGGCTTGGGAGTTCTCAAAGACGTCTGTCCATGTGGGACGAGCAGTGGCCCTGGAAGAGCCAGCCTTGGACAAAGCCATCTGCCCGAGTGGCCTTCCCTGCTGCCCACCCCTGCCCACCTTCGAGCCCTCCTCATCCTCCTCAGGGCGGCCCCCTGGGGTTCCCGAGTGTGAGGGGTCACCCCCTCACTTGGCTCCACCCCGGCAGGAGGAGAGGTGTCTGGCACCAGGCCGTCCAGCCCTGGCGCTGCCCCTGGTATCAGCACGAGTCACAGCTGCGTGTCCTCCCCCCCCCTTCCTTCCAGAAGCCCCCCAGCACCCACGCCATGAAGGAGGAGGCCTTTCTCCGGCGCCGCTTCTCACTGTGTCCGCCGGCCTCCACCCCGCACAAGACCGACCCCCGGAAGCTCACGCGGACCCTGCTCCTGGGCGGTGAGAATGAGCTCAGCCCAGTCAGCCCAGGTAGGTGCCAGCTGTGGGCGCATGTGGCAGAGGCCCCACGCCCTCGCAGCTGTCGAGGGCAGCAGCCCGCTCTGCTCACACCCCAGGGGGGACAAAGGGTTTGTAGCGCATAAGCTGGCCGGCCAGGTGGCTCCCTGGTGTGACCTCTGGGGGCAGGCAAAGCCCTTTGGGTCTGAAGACAGAGAGGGCCCCCAGAGGCCTTCTGGGGCCAGGGAGGTGCACTCGTCCCAAACATCGGCTTCGGGGACAGGCAGCCTGGGTCCTCCCTGCTGTCCTGGCTGGCTGACCCCAGGCCAGCTACTGGGTCTCTCGAGCTCAGTTTACTCATCTGTACAATGGGGACAACATTGGTGCCCATGCCCAGCGGCCAGGGCCCTGTGCGCTGGCCAGGGGACAATTCAGTTCTGCTGTGCTGCTGTGCAGCTTGAGGGTGAAGCCCTGCGCACCAGGGAGCGGGCACCCTGCTGCTGCCTTCCCCACAGCCCAGCCCCACCTGCTCCTCCACTCGGCCCCACCCAGTGGGGTCTCAGCTGAGTCCTGCTGCCCCATTGTGACTGCTGAGCCCAGAGAGCCCAGCCCTTCCCTCTGGAGCCCCGGGGGCCAGAAGCTGACTGTGCCTGCCCTGGAAGGACTCTCCAGATGGACCCCACCTCCACCTTCTGTGGCTGGGCAGGGAGGAGGTGTGGAGCCTTGGGGCTGGGGACTGCCTCGTCCCCTCTCAGCTGACAGATGGGGACGGGGAGGCCAAGGCCCAGAGCAGGGGGGCCTTGAGGAAGCCCCGGGGAGGCCAGGGAGCTGGATGCCAGCACTGACCGCAGCCATGTCCACTGGCCTGCACGGGGAGGGAGGCTCCGGCTGGCCGTCAGTCTCTGGGGACTTGGTCCTCAGAGTCACTGCCCAGGCAGGGCAGGGCCCAGGCTGGGGGGGACCCAGGAACAGAGGGGCAACAGGTCCCAGGGGCAAGGCAGGGCAAGGCAGTGACGTGGACAGGCTGGGAGCAGGAGCCAGGGCCAGCCTTGGCCTGCTGGGGGCACTCCCCTCTTGGGTGCTCCAAGAGCCCCTGCGTCCTCCCAGCCCAGGACACAGCACACACTGCAGGTGGCCCAAGGCAGCAGTCCGGAGCATCTGCTGAGGGGACCCTGAAAGCGGAGAGGACCCCTGCTGACCCCGCTTCAGTCGGGGCATGGGTGCTGTGTGGGCGGAAGCCCCAGGAGTGCCATCCTCAGGGACAGGGACATTGTACGACCTTGAGTGGGCACTGCACCAGGACGTTGGGGCAGAACCACTTCCCTGGGTCATTGTTTTCTGGAGAGAAAGGCTCCCAGTCCCACCCTGCCCTTCCCAGGACCCCGGGGAAGGGGTCTGCAGAGTCCTGGGCTTCCCTGGTTCGGGGGTGTCTGCCTCTCCCCTCCACTCCCCTCCTCGCTGCCTTTGGCAGGAGGAGCCGCACCCCAGCCCCAAGGCCCACGGCTTCGGGCCTCCTCTGCAGCCACCCCGCCTTCCTCCTGCCCGTAATCAAGGTCTCAGAAAGAGTGTCACAGCAGGGAGCCAGGGCTGGGCCACCTCCCCAGGGCCAACCCAGACCCAAGGGCCTCCTCCTCCCCCTCAGCCCAGCTGCACAGGGACCCAGGACGCTGTCCCACCACCTCCCTCAGTTCCAGCACTGGGGCCAGTGGCATCCTTCAGAGGGACACATGGCCAGCACCCTGGACCCAGCCTTCCTGTGAGCCTGGATACCGTGCTGTTCCCCTGAGGACTGAGGGCCACAGAGACCCGAAGTCACCACCACACCAGGCCCAGGGCCCCGGGTTCCGCCAGCCCCTCCCCGCTTCCTCCCTGTGGTCACAGAGGCCAGATCAGAACCCCTGGTCCTCCCGGGGCGGACACCTGCTGGATTCCCTGCACCCCTGGAGCAGAGTCCTGCAGCCACGCTACCTCAGCTGGCTCCCTGCCCCTCCCAGCCGGCCGGGGTCCCCCTGCACCCCTGGGAGCCTGGCCCCCGTTCCCCTCCTCACCCTCTGCTCCTTTGCAGGGAAGGACATGGAGCCTAATGGCCTGTCACTGCCAAGAGATGAAGAGCCCCCCACCTTGGGCTCTACCGCCAAGGTGCCACCGGTAAGAGCCCAGCAGTGGGAGGACCCAGGGTAGGGCGCCTGCTCAGGGACAGCAGGGTGCTGGCTGAGCCTGCCAACCCCTGTCCAGGCCAGGGAATGGGACGCAAATCCCAGGCTGCACAGCTCTTGGTCACGCCTCCTTCTTGTTCACGCCACCTTCTTGGTCACGCCACCTTCTTGTTCATGCCTCCTTCTTGGTCATGCCACCTTCTTGGCATAACACACGCTGCCTGAGAAGGGATGTGAGCTGCCGGGGTTCCAGAAAATGCCCGTGAGAGGTGGCCGAGCCCCTCTGTGCCGCGTGTGAGGTGCATGCAGGGCCCCAGCCTGGCCCTTCTCTCTGCGGGCATGAGTACCAGAGGCGTCCACGCATGCTCCCTGCAAGCTCTAGCTGGCAGGACCTCTGTCCAGGGGCAGAGGGGACTGGTGCCAGCACACCCCTCCTTCTCCCAAAGGGCTCAAGGAGCTCCGGCGGTTCTTGGTCCTGACGATGGGTTGGGCCATGGAGTCAGAGACCGTCCTTCACCTGTGCTGGCCTCAGGGACTGGTGTGACCTTCAGTGAGGGCCTGGCTCCTCTGGGAGCCCCTTCTCGCCTGTCACACTGCGGTTAATGATGTCCCGGTGGGCCCCTGTGTCAGCCTGGGAACAGCAGGCCAACCTGCACTCTCCCTGAGCCCACGCCCGCCCGCCCCTGACACGTGGCCGTGCGCTCACTGGTGTTTCTTGGCTATTCAAAACTTTGATCAGTGGCAAAGGAGACATGGCGTAAGATTTCCCCTCACAACCAAGTCTCGGTGCACAGTCCAGGGGCGCAGGCACACTCCCCTGCCGTGCAGTTGTCACCACTCCACCGCTAGAACTTGCTCATCTCCCCAAACTGGGACTCTGCCCATTCGACGCTGAGTCCCACCCGCAGCCCCTGCCCTCTCCTCCTCCCTGACGTGGATGGGACGGTCCTTGGGCCTCGTGGAAGTGGGCCCTGCGGTGCGGCCTCTGTGGCTGGTGCTTCCCTCATGCTGCAGGCTGCCCAGGTGGTGCAGCTGTCCGGATGCCCTTCCTTTTCAAGTGCCCTGTAGGATGGGCGCTCCGCCTGTCTGCCCTCAGGCGATGGGCACTGGGTTGCTTCCTCTTGTTAGCCGTAATGCGCGGAGCTGCTAGTGACGTACGTGGCCAGGTATTCTGTGAGTACCAGTCTCAATGCTTTGGAGTGCGAACTAAGAGTGGAATTGCTGGGTCACGAGGAACTCTGTAGCAGTATGAATTCTAAGAACCCCAGCCTTAACTTTCGAGGGACAGGTGCACTGCCCCCTCCAGCAGTATGCAGGGCCACCCTCCCACGCTCACCAGCCAACACTTCAGATTTTCTATTCTGTTTCCTTAAAACACACTTGATGGCATCCTGGTGAGGTGCCCAGTGGTGTCTCGTTGTGTCCGGGTTGCGTTCCCTGGGGCATCCTGATGCCCGGTGTCTCTGGGCTCATTGACCAGCTTGCGCATGCTCTTTGGAGGAAGGTCTCTGCTAGTCCTCCGCCTGTCTTTTGATGGGGTTGTTTGTCTTTTGGCTGTAGGGTCGAGAGCTTTTGATGCACTCTGACCCGAGGCCCCGCGCTGTGCATTGTTCTAAATTGTAATTTAAGTCGCTTTTGTAGGTTGCAAGGTTCCATCCGGACTATGAGGTTCCTGGTTCTGAGTAGCATTTCTCCTTTCTCAGGGCGCCCTGTTATTGCACCAGGCCTGACTGTCAGTGGCACACGGAGTGACCAAAGGGCCCTGGCCTGAGGTCAGGGTGCCCAGCACAGCCCACAATAAGGAGGAGTGGGCATCCCTCTCTGCAGAGCTCAGCAGGAGCTGCAGCACAGCCTGAGTCCCTTTGCCCGGCAGGGAGGTGGGGCAGCGCCACCCCTGCCCTCCCCCTTCCCATTGCCTAAACCGAGCACAACTGCCTTCAGCCCCGTGATAGAAAGCTGGGTGGCAGGGGAGTGTCAACAGGTCATAGATCATCGGTTCTAATTTAAACCAATCAGCATTCATTCCTTTATTTGGGGACTTGCTGAGCCCCCAGCTGCCAGTGCTGAGCCACTGTGAGATGCAACTGTCCCCGCGGTGGGCACTCTGGACAAAAACAACTGACCACAGAAATGGCCACGTGACGAAGCTGCCAACATCCTGGGCAGGTTTGGGGCACTATGTGTCACCAGGAGCTGATGCCAGCAGGTCACTTAGAGCTGAGGTCCTGTGTGCAGGTGACTCAGGGGCAACAGGGAAGGGCATCCCCAGGTGGGGAACAACATGTGCTAAGTCAGCCGAGGGCACCACGCCCAGACCTGGCTCAGAAGACTCCTCGGAGCAGAAACAGGCTCTCGTCCATCAGCCTGGGCCCTCCAGAGGCCTGTCACCTGGCCAAGGTCTGCATACATCCTTAACTCAAACGCTGCTTCCAGGGCAGAGCCCCCAGGAACCCCTCCTGCCTCCCTTTCTCCCATGATCTGGAATGTTCTCTTGGCTAAGTGGGTGCAGCCCTGGAGTAAGACTGCTGGGGTTCAATCCCAGCTGGGCCCTTCTCAACTGTGACCTTGGGCAGGTTTCTGAATCTCTCTGTGCCAGTCTCCTCCTCTGCAGAACACAGATAATAACAGCGGCCTGAGCTGCTGTATTTAACACTCATGGTCACAAAGCCGGGCACCCCACCCCTCTCCACCCCCTGCCCTGGCAGCCTCGTCCACGTGTGGGTGGCTGCCCCTCTCTCAAAGAGCCAAACAATCATAGTGTTCCTAAACCCAGTGCCTAAGGCAAGCCTGGCACAGTGCTGTCCAGGTGGCCATTGGACGATTCAAGTCCACCCCGTCCCTTACTGGCCCCCCAGGCTTGGGTGCTGCCTCACCTCCCCCTTCTTGGCTTCCTGTCCACCAAGTGGGATGAAATGGGTCCTGCCTCGTGGGTCGGTGGAGATTAGGTTTGGAGATTAGTTTGTTTTCCATGTTTTCAGTTACCCATGATCAACTATAATCTAAAAATACTAAATGGCAAATTCTAGAAATAAACAATTCATTTGTTTTAACTTTGCAGTCTTCTGAGTACAGTGACAAAATCTCCCACCATCCTGCTCCATCCTGCCTGGCATGTAAATCATTCTTTGGCCAGTGTATCCATGCTGTATATACTACCTGCCCGTCAGTCACTTAGTAGCTGTTATCTGACACAGAGAGGCCACATTCACATAACTTTCATTCCAGTATGTTATTATAAGGGTTCTGATTTATTTTTAGAGATTGTTAGTCTCTTACTGTGCCTGACTCCTAAGTTAAACATTATCATGGGTACAGATGTAGAGGGAAACACAGCACACGCAGTCTTTGGTACTATCCAGTTTCAGCATCTGCTGGGGACATTTGGACATACCCATCACAGACAAGGGAGACAATGGCACAGACAGAGCAGCGGACTGGGGCCTGGCATGTCTGAGTGGACAAAGCCTCCGCTCTGTACCCTGTGACCTGCTCCATCTCCCTGCTATTCTGAGCAGGCCAGGGCGAGGGCCCACCCTTCCTGCCTGAATGGAGACTCTCTCCACAGTGGACAATTCGCTTGCCCTAGAAGCTCCAGAGGGTGCTCCCTAGCACCCCCAGGCACCCAGCAGGGCAGCAGGTTCTCCTAGAAAGATGGACAGCGGGGCTCTCGGGCTTCCCTGCTTGGGGTCCTACTGCAGCACTCCACACTGCTGTCCAGGAGGCCGCCGCGGGCGTGGAGCTGCGTGACCTGGCTGTGGGCCAGGAAAACTGTGGACATGAAGTTTGAATTTCAGGGAACTTTCATGTCTCACAAAATAATATTCATTTGGTTTTTTTCTTAACCACTTGCAGTTGTGGAACCTGTTCTCGTGCAGGTGCACAGTGACAGGTGACAGGTAGGAGTCAGCCTTTCCCAAGCCTGCGTCCACCTTCCCTACCAGACCTCAGCTTCCCTATCTGCAGAGGGACTATGGCCCCTTCCAGCCCCAAGATCGGGATTGCTGCTCTCGGCCAGCAAGCCAGCTGTGGCCTGGGCTGGGCCCCGCCTGTGGCCATGGGCAAGACCTGGGCGTTGGCCCTCCACACAGCAGCTTCCAGAGAATGGGCATGGCCGCCCTGCACATGTCAGCCCTGACCAGAGGAAGGGCCATGGCAATGGCCGAGGAGCAGATGTCCTGTGCACCACGGGGACAGGAAAGGGGCTGCTCTTCCTGTGGATGGATGAGCCCGAGAGCTTGTCCCCCAGCTCACAGCTGCCACCACACTCCCCTCTGCAAACCCCACCCTTGGCGCCTGGCCATCTGGCTCAGGGGTCTCCTGGCTGCCCCTTCCCCAAAACCTGCCCCTGATGGCCCGGGTGTTTCTTCAGCCTCTGACTGGCCCCCATGTCCCCGCGTGTGCCCAGGTGGTGGATCCCATCTCCTCCTTGCCGTGAATTCAGCGCAGGTGCCCGGGAAGGGCTCACCAGGGTCAGCTTGTTCTACCTCCCACGGACCCCCAGAAGTGCTGGCGGGCCAGATGGAGGGTGCTGGGCCGTGGGGGCAGGAAGCACTTTTCTCCAACCTCTGTGTCCTGCCCCTGCCCACCCCAGCCCTCCACAGCTGCACCCCAAAGCCCCCCCACTCCCAAGTGTCTCTCTTTCAGGCAGAGAACAGACTGTGCAATGGGTCTGACAAGGAGTGTGTGTCCCCGACATCCAGGGCCTCCAGGAAAGAGACCCTCAAGGTGGGCCCGGGCCCTGGGAGGGGCGAGGCCTCTCAGCTGGCCCTTCAAAGGGAGGCCCCCGAGGCTGGGAGAGGCTCCCCGTCTGCTGAGGGGAGGAGCACCTGCACCCCACCACCCCATGCCCGACCTGCTCTCCTTTTTCTGCGTGGCCTTCTCCTGGCCCCAGACTGGACAGTGGGAAGAACTGGCCAGCAGGGGACCATCCCCCGTGACCGCCCACTGGTGCTCCCGGCTCAGGCGCAGAAGGAGACCTACCGAAAGGAGAAGAAGCGGGCGACGAAGCAGCTGTTCAGTGCCCTCACAGACCCCAGCGTGGTCATCATGGCCGACAGCCTCAAGGTGGGCGGCCCAGCGGGAGCTCGCGGGGGTGGTGGGAAGGCTGTGGCCACTCGGGAGACCGTCAGCATGTGTGGTGTCCTGGGGCTGCCACATCTGGTTTAAAGCAATAGAAATCTATTTCCTCACAGTTCTGAAAGAAAAAGTCCAAAATCAAGGTGCCCGCCAGGCCCTCCGGGTCCTGGGGGAGGGTCCTTCCTGCTCCTTCTAGCTCCAAGCGTCCTCGACTTGTGACCACATCAGCCTACTCCCTGCCTCCGTGTTCACAGGCCGACCCTCTGTGTCTGCCCCTCTTCCTGTGAGGACACCAGTCACTGGGCCAGGCCCCTACTCCAGCCTGCTCCATCCGCACTCTCTCCATGGCACCCGACAGAGGGGGGGCCCTGGTCTGCTGGCCGAGGCCTCAGAGTCCTGGGGAGGGACCATCACCCTGGCCTCCCAGGAGAGCGCCCGGGCTCAGACCTCCCCAGGGCACTCAGCCCTGAGCCTGCACTTCCCTCTCCACACAGTGAGGGTCAGAGACCCCATGCAGCCCCTGGGAGCAAGGGAGACAGGTGTGCCGCGCCCACCCACAGGCAGGATGGAAGCTAGGTATTGCCCCGACCAGCCGTTAATTCAGAAATCAGGGGCGACTGGGTGAAGAACAGACAGACACGCATAGAGGGAACAGCGGGGCCAGGTGGCGGCCAGGCTCTGACCGAGTCTGACTGACCCCGAGCCAGCTCATCAGAAGGTTGTGGGAAGGTTTCAGCCAAGCAGGCCCACTGAAGGACGCAGGACAGGCGGACATTAGGGTCATCTTGTTAGGCTCAGAATCCTCTGTTCCTGGGGGTTGGTGTCTGAACTCAAGGCCTCGACTGATCACTCTAAGGCTTTGTACAGAGTGTCCTTAGGCCGGCATCACCCTAGCAACTGAGCCATCGTGACCTGCACCCCTGCACAAGCAGTTCCCAGGGCTACCCGGCCACGAGAGTCAGACGTGATCCAAATCACCGCTCTCCAGGAGATGTGGTGCGAAGGCCGAGTTAGAAAGAGAAAAGAGAAGACAACTGGGTTACCAAGCTCAGAATTCCAAGTCACCAATCTGCTAGTTCCCCCAAGACCCTGGGACCTCCTTGTCCTTGAACTTGACCTCCATGAACCTCACCAGCGAATCTGTCCCGGGTTTCTCTAGATTTCTTTGAGTCTGCCATCACTTAAGTTCCCCTTTGAGAAACTGGAGGGGACCTGCCACACCCCAGGGCAACCTGAGCTCTGCTCTGAGTCCCAGGGCTCCGGCAGCTTCATGCCCAGCTTCAGCCGTGCTGCCCCAGCCCTGCCAGGGCACGTGGTGGGCACCCCCAGGAGTGGGGGCCAGCCCTGCGCTCAGAACACGCAGACAGCCCCCATGAAGCCACCGAGATGCCCAGGGGGGGCAGCCTCAGTGGGCAGAAGTGACCACAGAGCCCCTCCTTACAGATCCGAGGGACCCTGAAGAGCTGGACCAAGCTGTGGTGCGTGCTGAAGCCTGGGGTGCTGCTCATCTACAAGACGCCCAAGGTGGGCCAGTGGGTGGGCACCGTGCTGCTGCACTGCTGTGAGCTCATCGAGCGCCCCTCCAAGAAGGACGGCTTCTGCTTCAAGCTCTTCCACCCACTGGACCAGTCAGTGTGGGCCGTGAAGGTACTGCTGGGCGGGAGGGGACACCCTGGCCAGGGGAGAGTGGCACCATAGGGTCAGGAGGCGCCTCCCGGGGCCACAGTGGGACACCACGGCCAGCTACAGAGGCCTCCAGCAGATCTCATAACTTCTCTGAGCCGCATGCAGGGCTGGGGGACCAGATATGGCCATGGCCTTCCCCGCAGAACCCTTGGTGGCCTCGGGGAGTGGTAACAGAGCAGCGTGAAGACCCCTCCAGCCCAGACCTCAGCCTCGTAACGGGGCTGCCCAACCCAGGATCAGCAGGGCCAGGCTGCCTGGGGAAACCCAGAACGCCCAGTAGTGTTTGCATTTTGGAGGAACCAGTTTTTAGTGAAGACTCCTCAACTTGGGATGAGGTCACACCCAGATGACCCATCGTAAGTTGGAAACGCCGCAGGTTTACACTGTGCTTAACACAGCGGACTCCCAGTCACCATGGCTCAGCTCACCTGCCTGCGCTCAGAACACGCAGCAGCCTACCGTTGGGGGAGACACCCCAGCACCCAGCCTGCTGAGTGTCCCGTGGGTTAACTACCGTTCTGAGTGTGGGACACAGTGGCTATATGAGCATGCTTGCCCACTACCATAAAGTCAAAATATCGTACATTGAAACCGTCTTAATAAGAACATCCCACATGTTCCGTGGGCTGGACTTACCCTACAGAGCTCTTCAAAGCTCTTCATTATTTCTCTGAGATTCGGATTCAGCTGGGCATCCTGGTTTTGCAGGATTCTGACCCTAACTCAGGAAGCTCACAGCTGGAGAGCGAGGGCGAGAATCCCCGCCCATCCGTCTCTCTCGCTGCCTGCCAGGTCTTCCTGGCCAGATGCCTGACCCTGCAGGTCTCTGCCTCTCCAGGGCCCCAAAGGTGAGAGTGTGGGCTCCATCACACAGCCCCTCCCCAGCAGCTACCTGATCTTCAGGGCCGCCTCGGAGTCGGACGGTGAGTCCCCTCTGCCTGTCTCCTGGGTGCCTGCCCGAGGAGGGGCCCTTGTCGGGTGTAAGCCAGGTGTAGGTGAACACGGTTCAGGCCTCCACTATCCCCCAACAAGAGGCGAAGTCATGGGGCAGGCCCAGGCTTGGCACCAGACAGGCCTGGCTCACGTGGTACCTCTCCGAGCCTCAGTGTCCCCATGGGTACAGTGTGACTCATACTTGTCACCTCAATGTTATGAGACTCCAGGGACCTCATTAGAGCACATGGCAGTCACTAAGCTCCACACCCTGAGGGCAACATGGACCGTAGGTCCTACTGTCATCTTCCACGTCGCACAGGCAGCCCCCGGCAAGACAGCGCCTGAGCCCAGACAGGCGTGTGAGCTCCCGACTCCACACCGTCTCCTTCAGGTGCCCCGAACTAGTGATTATTTCCTGCAGTGACCACCCTCTGATGGGGGTGGCCACCCATCTTCGCCCTCAGGGCTGGCCCCTGCAGCCACAGCCTAGAAGCCATAGCCCTCTGGGTCCAGCCCCTCAGTCTTGACTGTGGGCAGTGTCCTCCACGCCAGTGCCACATCGCCCCCTGGTGGTCAGTGCCACATCTACGTTCCCCAGCTGTCCCAAGTCCCTTCAGTATGAGATCATTGTGGGATCCCACCTGGGCCCTGGGGTGGACAGGGTAGCCTGTGCCTCATGCACCTGCAGCTCTGATGGGGAGGTGGGCAGTGAGCCATCAGACAAGGAGACCAGGGAAGACGGTGCCAAGGCCCTGATTGGCAGAGGGGCCACAATGGGGAGGAGGAGTGTCCCCAGCCCCTGTGGGTGTTAGGGTGGCCTTCTGGAGGAGCCAGAGGAGGCCTTGTGTGGGCATCGCGTCTGGGGTATCGAGTCCCCGGTGGCAGCCCTGAAGGCGTGTTCAGGCCCCGCCCCGAGTCGGCGGCTGGGACCTCCCCCGCTCTTGTCCAATGCACCCCCTCCCCCCACCCCAGGCCTGCTCCATGATTGCTCACCAGGCTGGGGGGGCTCTGTTCCAACCCAGCCTGCAGTGAACCCCAGAAGCACCCCAGATGTCCCCTGGCAAGAAGAGCAGCTCCAGAGAACCAGGAGCCACCATCCTGGTGGGTCCCTCCCCTGAGTTTCCCAGACTGGCCCCAGGGATGCCCGGCCCGAGCAGGGTCCATGAGCATCAGTCAGGGAACGAGTCTCCAAGAGCAATGCCAGGTCCCTCCAGAGTGACCACTCCCCACCCCGCCTGGTCCCACGGGCCCCCGATTGTCACGGTGCTTGGAGCCGTCATTTATAGGCCACCCCAGATGCTCTTGTGAGCGGAAGGGCCGCTCTCAGTGTTCACACCAGGACACCGGGTGCCACCTGGGTGGACGCATGTCCCAGAGATGTTAACACTTGGGGATCTGAGCCACCCTCTGCCAGGAAGGCAGCAGACAATGAGCAAGAGCCCCTTCCCACCCTCTGCTGTGCACAGCTTCGTCCCTGTGGCCTGGGCAGTGGTCCTCCACAGCAAGGTCCTGCCCACCTCCACCCTCCTGCCCATGTTCCCACCAGCAGGAGCCCCAGGGCACCCGGACCTGCAGCTCCTGGCGGGGGCCCTCATCCCACTCCACCCGGGCACACCTGCAGATGGACCCTCTGGGCACAAGGCCAGCTCTGGGCCGTCACCTGGGTCCCTCCCATCCTGGCCTTAGCCCCTGCCTGCGACATGAGTGCACGGAAGGGCACGGCCGTTGAGGTTCTCCGAAGAGCTCCTTGAGGCCTACTCAGAAGGCCCAGGGCCACATGGACTCCTGGTGTCCGTCCCCTCCGTCCCCCACCACAGGCCCCAGACCGAGGTCCCTGTGGGAGGCAGGACAGAGGGATGGGAGGAAGGTGGTCTCCTGGTGGGGGTCGGGGGGCCACGGGAGGTTCCCAGAGGGGAGCAGGCTGGACCCCTTGGTGAGGGCAGCGGCCCACTGTGTCCCCAGGGCGCTGCTGGCTGGACGCCCTGGAGCTGGCCCTGCGTTGCTCCAGCCTGCTACGGCTGAGCGCCTGCAAGCAGGGCCACAACAGCGAGCCGGGGTCCTCGCCCGACGCGTCGCCATCCTCGCTGTCCGGACTGCCGGGCTCAGCCGCCGTCCACCCAGACCAGGACCTGTTCCCGTGAGCAGGGTGGGGCGGGCAGGGGTTGGCGGGGTCCCCTAGGAGGGGGCAGGGGAGGAAGCAGACCTCCCACGGCACATGGAGTCCACGGAGGGGGAGGCCCTGTCCCTGCTGGTCCCCAGAGGCTCAGCCCCTTCATTGTGGGATGGGGGCTCCGGGGTCCAGCGGGGAGCGGGGTGGAGGCCGTCGCAGGAGTGTGCATGAGGCCGCACGCGGAGGGGTGTGCAGGCTGGGGCTGGCCTGTGACCAGGCGCCACCCTGCACCCCATCCAGGCTGAGTGGCCCGTCCCTGGGGAGCCCCCTGGAGCAGGATGCCTTCTCGGACAAGTCAGAGAACGCCGAGGACTCGGGGGCAGAGACCCAGGACCCCAGCCGCAAGACCAACGGGAGTGGCAGCGACCAGTCTGAGAGCCCCGGGGAGCCCCACAGGGGGACCACCTACGTGGAGCAGGCCCCGGAGGGGCCTGGGGAGGTGAGAGCCGCCCTCCTCCCTGCGGCAGGGGGCAGTGCCAGGTGGGTGGGGGTGGAGAGACCCGCAGGGTCCAGGACGGGTCCGCCGTGCTCCTTCCCTGGGGGGACACTCCCTCTCCTGAGAGGCCCTCCCTCCCGGCCGGCCCTGCTGGTGTGTGGACCTAGGGACGCGGCAGAGTTTCCTGCCCCCAAGGAGCAGCCCGGGCTGGAAGGCACCGTGTGAGAGGACAGGGGCTCTGGAGGGACCCTCAACATCCGCTGGGTGATGAGCAGGATGAGGGCTCTGTGTGTACCTGGACGTGCCACTCCGGCCGCTTCCCTGCCCTGGGGAGACGGTCACGGGCCAGGTGGCCCTGGGCTGCCCCGCAGCCCAAGTTCATGGCAGCCGGAAACGGGCCACAAACCCACTGCTGTGGTTAGGACTGGGGTGTCCCCAAAGCCCAGGTGCTGAAGGCTTGGCCCCCAGCTTGGTGCTTTTTGGAGGTGGGAGAATTCCTATCAGGTGGGGCCCAGAGGGAGGACTTTAGGTCATTGCGGGGAGTGTCCCCAAAGGGGATGGTGGGATCCATCTCTTTCTCTTTCGCTTCCTGTGAGCAGCTGGATCAACCACGCACTTCTGCCATGGCGTACCCCCTCGTCACAGGTCCAAAAGCAGCAGGGCCAACAAGGGCAAAATCTCCCAAACTGTGAACCCAAATAAACCTTATTTCTTTACAAGTTGATTATCCTAGGTGTTTGTCATAGTAACAGGAAACTGACTAACTCACACAGCCACGGAGGACTCAGGAGAGTAAATGGGAACAAGGCTTATAATGGGGTAGAGAGTGCCTTGGAGGGTGGGTGGTCATGGGGTTTCTTTGAAGACCTGAATAACAAGAGGGAGAGTGGCATTCCAGGCACAGGGGCCATGAGTGCAGGAGCCCAAGCAGGAGCACTGTCAGCACCCACAGGAGTGCTCCTATGGAGGACAGAGCTGGACTGCTTGAATTGCCACAGCGAGATGCCGTGGGCATGGTGGTGTGCCTCAGTAAGTGGGAGCCCAGAGGAAGGACGCACAGGATCCAGGCCTGGAATGGGCAATGGGGGTGGGTTGAAGAAGCCAAGCTTTGCTGAGGACCGGGTGCTGTCAGGACGGGACCTCTACAGCCATTCCCGTCCAGGTGGAAAGAAAGTAGCAAGGCTGAGGCTGTGGTAGGTAGCGTAGCCCCTGGCGTAGCAGGCAAAGGGATCGGGGTCCTCGTTGCTGTTCAGGACAGTGTCTCTGATTGGCCCTTCCCTGTTGCTATAACAAAACACCTGAGGTTGGGTGCTTTAGAGAGAAAAGAACTTTATTTAGTTCATAGTTTGGAGACTGGCAATCTGGAATTGGGCAGCCGTGATTTGGCCTTTGCTGAGGGCCCTTGTGACGGTGTCACCTGGTGGATGGCCTCATGGGGGATCACATGCAGAGTCAGGAAGAGAGAGAGCACGGAGGGGCCAGGCCTGCTTGTCCCCCCAGACCCTCTCAGGAACCACTAAGTGCAAGGCCAGTGTCGCCCCTTCCAGGGACCTGCCGCCTTGGTAGACCCCATGCTTGACCCGGGTCCCAGGGGCACTCCACGTGCAGACAGCGTGGTCTCGTTCTGGTCTTGCTCCACCGTGGGCAGAGCGGCCTCGTCTGACGTCGTGTCCTGTGAAATCGCGTTCGCCACGGCCTTCCTATGGGGGTGCGCGGCTGGGCACCTGCCTGTGCCCGGGAGCAGGAGAGTGACGGGGAAGCACCCACGGCCAAGTGGGGAGGGGGCCTGCAGGGAGGAGCCCTGGGGAGCTGGGAAGGCAGCCGCTCCGCCCTCCAGAGTGGACTGGGCAGGCCCCAGCTGGACGGGGTGCCACTGGGAGAAACCGTGGGCAGGATAGGGCGTGGACGGATGTGTGGCCTGTGACGACTGGGTCCCGGGAGGCGCTGCCTCGCGAGTCGGGCTCCGCGGCGAGAGCCCGCTGTGCACCGCAGCTCTGCGCTGGGCCAAGCGTCCTCCGTAAAGGGGCCAGAACTTCTCAGTAACTTTAAAATACTTTTTGTAAGTGGAAGGGCACCTGCCTCACAGGGCAGCCGAGGGTCCGAGGGGCCAAAGCCTCCCTGCCAGACCGTGAGCTCCTCCCTCGTGTGGGACGGTCACCGAAGTTCCAACAGCCCCGTCTGGCCAGGCCCCACCTGGACTCAGGGGAGGGCCCAGGTCTGCCAGGTGGGGCAGCGGCCCAGCGGTGAGGGACGAGAGCAGCCTTCGCGGGCAGCTGTACCCTCCAGGCAGGGTGGCCGCGTCGGGAAGGGAAGGGTCAGGGCTTCAGGGCTGGGCTCTGGAGGCTGCAGGACCAGGCTGGGCGTCCACACCAGTGGTGGACAGGTGCAGCCCCCACACCTACTCAGCCGGGGACGGTGTCTCCCACCACCCCGCGCCCTCCCTCCCTGAGGCGCACAGAGCTGACCCCAGGCCCTTTGCTGCAGCTGGATGAGGAGCCCCAGGTGGAGACAGTGTCGGAGGAGAACAAGGGTCTCATATGGGTGCTGCTGCGGCAACTGCGGCCGGGCATGGACCTGTCCCGCGTGGTGCTGCCCACCTTCGTGCTGGAGCCCCGCTCCTTCCTCAGCAAACTCTCCGACCACTACTGCCACGCAGACCTGCTCTCCAGGTGCGCTGCGGCAGGGGAGTGGCCCAGGGGGCGGGAGGGGCCCAGGCGCAGGGGCCCACAGGGCGCCCTGGACGCTACCAGGGCCAGCAGTTCTCTCTGAGGCCCAGCGTGGGGTGGAGCCGGTGCTTCTGGTCACTTCCAGGGGGGATTCCCCAGGTCAGGGCTGCCTGGCATGGTGGCGGGTCCAGCGCATCAGGGTCCAGGTGGCCTGCGGTAGCTCAGTGGACGGAGTTGGGATGGCCGATTGTGTGGTCAGGGGAGGGGGTGGCCAGGGACCCTGGGCAGACTCAGAGCCCCGCCTCCCCATGGCAGGGCTGCCCGGGAGGACAACGCCTACGGCCGCATGAAGCTGGTGCTGCGCTGGTACCTGTCAGGCTTCTACAAGAAGCCCAAGGTGAGCCTCACTGAGTCCCGGGTCCCCCGGCCTGGACGTCCGGCTGCCCCCGTGGCTGAGGTCCAAGTTGGAGGACGGGGCCTGAGTCCCCACAGAGAGCCCCAGTGCTGCTCAGACCAAGTCCCAAGTCGGTGCCCATCCCCTGAAGGACCCACACTGGACCCTTCCCACCCCAGGGAGCTAGCCTCGGGTGCTGGAGGTGCCACCGGGCACTGGTACCAGCAGACCCAGTGTGTCCAGAAGTTCTAGCCACGGGATCATCTCAGAACCGCAGCCAGGACTGGCCGAGCTGCCTGGTGCAGTGGCTGCGCCCTGCCACTCCAGGTCACACGCTGGACTCTGAGACTCTAGTTCCACTTTTCATTGCACAGATGGAGACACTGAGGCCCGGAGAGGGGAAGGGACCAACTCGGACCCCCACAGCAGGCTGGCTTGGAGCCGGGTCTCCCTGCCCCCCGTGCCCCCCACGCTCAGCTTTGAGGGGGCTATTCAGGCTCTGCACCCAGGTCCAGGCGGAGTGACTCAATTCGGGGTCCTGAGGCCCCCACTGAGCTGAGCTGAGGAGTGGACAGGACACCCCGAGGCTGTCCCCACAGAATGCACAACACAGGAAGGAGTGTCCCCCAGCACCATGGGGTGCTGTTCCCTGTTGCTGGCGGCAGGCCAGGCCCCTTTGAGAGTCGTGGGCAGCCCCCACACTGTCCCCCGGTCCGCGTGGCCAGCCCTGCGTGGAGCCCTCCAGCCTCTCCCCAACACGGCCTCGTCCTGCAGGGAATCAAGAAGCCCTACAACCCCGTGCTGGGCGAGATGTTCCGCTGCTGCTGGATCCACCCACAGACGCGCAGCTGCACCTTCTACATAGCAGAGCAGGCAAGGCCCCCTCTGGGCAGGGAGCCTGGGCGCTGGGGAGTGCAGGGTGGGCCCTGCGTGCGGGTCCCGGTGTCCCCCCTCCTACCAATCCCAAGGGCTCTGGAGCCGGATGCTGCCCACGGGTTGTCGGAGAAGGTGCAGACAGAGCCCCGTGCCTGTGACAGCAAAGTGTCTCCTGGGGAGTCGGGGACCGAGCGTCCTGGTCCCATGGGACACTCGGGGTGACTCAGGGATTTGAGTCTGCTCCTAGGCCCTGTGACTCACGCCCCCTCCCCGGGACCCCGAGAAAGCCCCCGGGCTGCCCTGGGTCCCCTCCAGGGCCGGTCCAGAGCTGCCTCTGCCTGCAGGTGTCCCACCACCCGCCCGTGACGGCCTTCCACGTCAGCAACAGGAAGGACGGGTTCTGCATCAGCGGCAGCATCGTCACCAGGTCCAAGTTCTACGGTGAGCGGGGCTCCCCCGGGGCTCCTGGGCCCGAGGGACATGGGGCAGGACCAGGTCTCACATGGTGGCCGTGCACACCCTCAAGGTCAGGGACCACATGTGGCAAAAGTGCTGAGACCTGGCCAGGAGCCCGCCCCCAGCTGAGATGGGGCGACTCTTGCAGGGAAGCCACGAGGACGAGGGGAGAAGCCGCATGGATGGCGAGGCCCAGGGCTGAGCGCCCAGCCCCGTAGCCACTGGCCACACGTGGCCACACAACTTGAGTAAAATTGGAGCTGGAGGTGTGACTCGGGGTAGCACTTGCCTGGCATGCACGAGGCCGTGCGCCACTCCCAGCACTGCACAAATAAGATGGAATAGACAGTCCTGTAGGTGGAGTAGGCAGTCCCCAAACCCAAGGCCAGAGGTTCTCTGATGACCAGATGCTGGCCATGTGGGGGTGGGCAGGGAAGGACGAAGGCTCTGGGGATTGTGCAGGGGGTGGGAGGGCAGGGGCTGGGGGATGGGAAGACGGTAGAGACAGACATTGTCACCCTGTATACTTGTGTGACCACGCGACTGCTGTGACGGCACCACGCACAGCCAGAGGACGGGGAAGTGGCACTCCGTTAGTGCACAGTGTGTCCCATGCACGCTACTGTCACGTGCACTAGTCAGAACAAATTAGAAATAGAAGAGGTCAATCTTGTGGGTGAGTAGATACGTTTAAATGAGATAAAGCTGAAAAGGCAGCCCTCGGGGCCGTGAGCCACCACCTGGGACAGGTGTCCCCACATCCTGCCAATCCGTGGCTCCGCTGCTCTGGACCTGGGGCACAGTGCATGGGCAGCACTGCCCTGTGCTGACCCGCTGGCACCCCATTCACCAGGGCCCCCTGTCCGCAGACTCCACTTCTCCCTTTTCCACCCTGGGCCCCTGGCTCAGCAGTGGCCGCAGCTACCGGCCCAGAGCTGGAGGGGGCACCCTTTCTCCTGGGTGTCTAGAATCCCAGGTCCACAGCCTCCCCGAGAACCGCTGGTTCCATGGCTGAAGAAAACTGTTCACAAGCAGCAAGTTGAGTGGCTTCTCAGGACAGGCAGGGGGTGTGACCTGAATAGGGCTTTTACAGGACCTGAGGATCAGAGAGGCTAAGCGACTCACCCACAGTCACACAGCTGGAGGGCCTGGGAACTCTCAGACCCTTTGAAAGGGAGCTCAGAGCCACAAGAGTGTCTGCACTTACGGGTCCCCCTGCCCTGTCTCTGCAGGGAACTCACTGTCGGCTCTGCTGGACGGCAAGGCCACGCTCACCTTCCTGGACCGAGCAGAGGACTACACCCTCACCATGCCCTATGCCCACTGCAGAGGTAAGAGGCCATGCCACCCTCCGATGTCCCAGCCTGGCCCCCAGGGACACCACTGTGCTGGGCCCTTCCATTTGGCTAAAGACATTCCTGTCCCCCCACCCCAGCCATTGCTGGTAGGCACGGGCCGTGACTTGGGGAGCGCTGGCCCTCTCCCCTTGGCCTCTGGGTGCCCTGCGGGGTGCTGGGCCCGTCCCCCTCCCATCTGCTTCACTCTCTGGCTCTCGGGCCCGTCTGGTCTCCGCCATCGCCCTGCTGCCGAGGTCTGTTTCCTTTTTTACTTAATGGATGGTGTTTAGCAGTGGTTCAGGTTCACAGGGAATCCAGGCAGAGGCAGGGACAGACCCATGCCTGGACACACGGGTCCCCGAGTTAACCCCCGGCTTTTGTGTGGGAGGTCCGTGGCAGTTGACCAGCCAATAGGGACACATCGTCTTCACCAGCGTCCATGGTGTCCGCGGGGGTCTCTCTGCGGAGCACATCATGGGTCTTGGCCCCCATGGTGCTACGGTGACAGCAGCCCCAACCACAGCCACCTCCCCGGACGCGATGGACCCACCCACGGACCTCACACCCCGCCTCCCCTTTCCCTCGTGACACGTGGTGCCACCCCACAGCTCGCGGGCTTCTGGGCCAGCTTGCTCCTCCAGGCCGCGTGCCAGCCTTTCCTCCCGGGTCCTTGTGGCCTGTGGCTCTGCGTCTGCAGCTGAGGGTTTCGTCTGTGTGGGGCGTTGGGCAAGCCTGGACATTTCAGCCATTGCTCTTCTAACCTGCCACACGTCTGAGCTGTCCCCTCTCCTTCTGGAGTCCAGCAGCACGTAGGTCCGCCATCCCTGGCTGTGCCCCGTGTCCCCGGGTCTCTGCGGCGTCCCACCTGGGTGCCCCTGGAGGACCCTCTTCCTGACGTCCCTTCATCTCTGGCTCTGCACCTCCTTGTGCTTTTGTCTGGTTTCGTGACTTGGTTTTTTTGCGCTGAAGTCTGCTGGCTCCCTCTGACCTGCCTGTTCTTCTTTCCTGTCCCGTGGGCCTTGTCCTCTTGTGGGTCCTCCAGTGCTGAGACCGGCTGTCTGTCTGTCTGTCTGGAAACCGTGGCGTTCCGGGGGTTTGCCCCAGTGGTGCCCTGAGGGTGCTCAGTCAACACTGTGCAGCTGGTGACTGGTCAGCCCCTGGGGAGCGAGGCCCAGGGTGGGAACCCCGTGCTCCCGGCTGGCTCCCGCTGGCCCAGGTAGGAGCCCCTGGCTGGCCGTGGTAGGTTGTCTGGGCCACGGGGAGCGTGGTCAGAAGCCCAGACTCACCCTCCAAGCCCACAGGGCTTTGTGTTTGCTTGTAACCCCTAGAGCTCAGGCCCAGGCAGATGGTTCTTGACCCTCCTGGGCCTGGGGGGCCTCCATGCACCCCTTTTGCTGAGGGCCGCCTATGAGGGAGCCTGCTGTGTGGAAATGCCTGGGAGCCAACTCTGCCTGCTGCTCTGGCCAGGCGCTGACCACTGTCCATAGAGAAGCTGGGACCCAAGGCCCAGGCCGGCAGTGCTGCTCCTCCTCCCCCTCCCCCTCCCCCTCCCCCTCCTCCTTCTCCTCCCCTCCCCCTCCTCCCCTCCTCCTCCTCCTCCTCCCCCTCCTCCTCCCCCTCCTCCTCCTCCCCTCCTCCTCCTCCTTCTCCTCCTTCTCCTCCCCTCCCCCTCATCCTACCCCTCCTCCTCCTCCCTCTCCTTCTCCTCCTCCCCCTCCTCCTCCTCCCCCTCCTCCTCCTCCCCCTTCTCCTCCTCCCCCTCCTCCCTCTCCTCCTCCTCCCCCTCCTCCTCCTCCCCCTTCTCCTCCCCCTCCTCCCTCTCCTCCTCCTCCCCCTCCTCCTCCCCTTCCCCTCCTCCTCCCCCTCCTCCTCCTCCCCCTCCTCCTCCTCCCCCTCCTCTCCTCCTCCTCCTCCCCTCCTCCTCCTCCCCCTCCTCCCCCTGCTCCTCCCCTCCCTCTCCTCCCCCTCCCCCTCATCCTCTTCCCTCTCCTTCTCCTCCTCCCCCTCCCCCTCAATCTCCCCCTCCTCCTCCTCTCCCTCCTTCTCCTCTCCCTCTTATCCCCCTCCCCCTCCTCCCTCTCCTTCTCCTCCTCCCCATCCCCCTTCCCTTCATCCTCCCCCTCCTCCTCCACTCCCCCTCCCCCTCCCCTCCTCCTCCCCCTCCTCCTCCTCCCCCTCCTCTCCTCCTCCCCCTCCCCTCCCCTCATCCTCCCCCTCCTTCTCCTCCCCCTCCTTCTCCTCCTCCTCTCCTCCCCCTCATCCTACCCCTCCTCCTCCCCATCCTCCCCCTCCTCCTCCCCTCCCCCTCCCCTCCTTCTCCCCTCCCTCTCCTTCTCCTCCTCCTCCTACCCCTCCTCCTCCTCCCTCTTCTTCTCATCCTCCCCCTCCCCTCCCCCTCATCCTCCCCCTCCTCCTCCTCCCTCTCCTTCTCCTCTCCCTCCGCCTCCCCCTCCTCTCCTCCTCCTCCCCCTCTGCCTCCCCTCATCCTCCCCCTCCTCCTCCTCCTTCTCCTCCCCCCTCCTCCCCCCTCCTCCTTCTTCTCCCCCTCCTCCTTCTCCTCCCCCTCCTCCCCCTCTTTCCCCCTCCTCCTCCTCTTCCCCCTCCTCCCCTCCTCCCCCTCCCCCTCCTCCTCCCTCTCCCCCTCCCCCTCCCTCCCTCCCTCCTCCTCCTCCTACCCTGCCCTCCCCTTCCCTTCTTTTCCTTATGGAAACTCAAACATATATGAAAGTCCAGGGGCCCCACAGACCCACAGCCCAGCAGGCCACCAACCTCACGTCCTTGGAATCTGCACACCCCCTCCCCAGCTGATCTGAGGGCTACCCCAATCCTCACGTCACGTAATCGGGTGTCTCTAAGATGAGAGACCCCTCTAACCATCATCACCCCAAAACAACACAAACCAGGTCCCTCCGTCACCCACATGGGTGTCCAGCTCCCCAGCTGTCAGATACGAGAATTCTGTGTGCACACACGTCGAGATGTGGGAGCGTTGGTGAACACACATGTGCGCACGCCCGGGTGTTGTTGGCTCAGCTCTGTGCTCCCTGGGGCCTGCTTCCTGTCTCCCCACCTCCCTCCCGCAGGCGAGGCCTCTGTGGAAGGGGCGAGATGGTTATCAGGCAGCCTGGGTGTCTCGCTGTCCTGCTCCGAGCACTTCCTAGGACCTGGGCACCGGGGCGCTGTAGATGCGCCCACTCAGCAGCAAGGCCCTGGCAGGGACTCTATGTGGCAGGCGCACAGTGTCTGGTGGCTCTGTCTGCCATTCGCCTGGTGGATCCGCTCGTCCACAAGGCTGTGCGGGAGGCCATGCCTGTCACCTTTCACTTGATCACGGCAGCCTCCCTACGAGAAGCGGCCTCGGGCTGCGGGGGGTCAGCCAGAAGGTCGGTTGTGCTTTAGGATAATGCCAGGTTTTCCTCTTTTCAGAATAAGTGCCCTTTGGGGGACACCCCCGAAGGTGGTCATTTCAGGACACCCAGCTGCTTTGCCTCTTGTGCTCCCGAGGCCCCATCCAGGGCCGCAGGGGGCCGAGTGGGCTCCTGGGTCCCCCACTACGCTAGAGTTCCGCAAGGGCCCTTTCCTTCTCCCATGGGCACCTGGACGTGTCCCCCCTAGAACTCACATGGGCCAATTCTCCAAGGAGCCCGTTCCTCCCAGTAGGAAGTGATATCTAGAGACCACACTGGAAGTCAGGTCTGGGTTTTTAAGGTTTTTTTATTTTAGCGAAATGCATACAATGTAAAACACTTCCTTAGTCATTTTAAGTGCCCCGACCGGTGGCATTACTGCCTCCATGGTGCTGTCCCACTGTCACTGTCCACGCCCACCTCTTTTTCATGTGAGTGGCTAGGCCATCATCTCTGGGCTTTCTAACAAGCCAACGTGGGGGTCTATTTCTGCTCTTTGTTTTGTGGTCCAGGGGATGGAATGCTGCACCCCGAGACCTTATTTTTGTTCTGAGACAGGTTCTCATTAAGTTGCTCACAATGACCTTGAACTTGAGACCTACCTGCCTCAGCCTCCCGAGTGGCTGGGTTGACAGGTGGCCACTGTGCCTGGCTGCGAATGGTCTGGTCTTGATTTGGTTTTCATTTGTAAAACGTATTTTATCCCACATTTCTGAGTGTTTTTGTTGGGGAGGGGGATAAAAAACCCTTTTTTTTTTTTTTTTAGTGGCAGTGGTGGCACTTCTTTAATTAGATGTAAGTTCTCCATGTGGCCAGAAATGGAAGACTCCTTCTTCCAAAAAAGATGTGCTGATTGTTTTAACACACCAGGTGCTGTCCAGGGACACAGCTGTGAGCCAGGAAATGCCTGTCCTCAGGGACCCGCGTTGGCGCAGAGTCCGAGACACCTGTCTTGGGTCCCCTTCCTCGAGGACAGTTCCTGAGAGACAGGCGCGCCTCCCCACGATGGCGCTGCCCACCCATCCTCCCTTCTCGGCCTCCTGGGGTCCAACACTGGCCTTCTGGGACTCAGTGCTGCTGGTCTCCCCCCTGACACCGCTACCTTTCAGGCATCCTATACGGTACCATGACCCTGGAGCTGGGAGGGTCAGTGACCATCGCGTGTGAGAAGAACGACCTCCAAGCCCAGCTGGACTTCAAGCTCAAGGTAGAGGGCAAAGCCTTTGGGAGTCATGGCCCAGAGCTGGGGCCGTGAAGGGAGTGAGGCTTTGGGGAGCCCCTCCTTGCACCCAGGGACAGCTTTCCAAACCAGAGAACGGGGGGAGCAGCTCTTTACATACCACAGGACAGACAGGGCCCAGAGAGGGGAAGGGACCCGCTGCAGATCACACAGCAGAGCCAGTCAGCCAGGACAGACCCTGCGTCCTGGGGCTCAGGCTCAGCCTTGGCCTAGCTATGATCACAGGTGACTGCTCTGTGCCCCCAGGAGGATGTGCCTCTGGCCTGGCCCCCTTGCTCACCAGGTGTCCCCTGTCCCTTGTGCCTCTGCAGCCTTTCTTTGGGGGCAGCACCAGCATCAACCAAATCTCGGGGAAGATCAGGTCGGGAGAGAATGTCCTGGCACATCTCACTGGACACTGGGTGAGGGGACGCCCCTCGGGGCAAGCCTGGCCGGGTCTCGGGGTGGTCACGGCCCAGGCCAGCAGCGCTGACCCTGCCTGGCTACCTGGGGCAGGACCGAGACGTGTTCATCCAGGAGGAGGGCAGCGGGAGCGCGGAGCTCTTCTGGACCCCCAGCAGGGAGGTCCGCAGGCAGAGCCTGAAGCGACACACGGTGCTGTTTGAGGAGCAGATGGAGATGGAGTCTGAGAGGTGAGACCCGCCTGGCCCCACAGGACCCCACTGACCAAAGCCTCGCGTGGCCGGGCAGGCAGGCAGGTCCTCGTGCCCCTCGAGGCCTGGCAGGGAGGCAGACCCCAGAGCAGACCCCTTGTGGCAGACCATGTGTCCTGGCAGGGACAGCTGGAGGGAGGGGTCCCCATCACGGCTGGCAGGTGACCGTCAGCTCCACAGGGAGGCCCCTGCAGGTGGGAGGTGGAGCCAGGCTTGGGAGAAGCTTCTCACAGGGAGACGCAGCGTGGGCTCCTGTGGGCAGCAGCACCTGCCGTTAGAGCTGTCAGAGGTCGCCCTGAGCTCCGCCCAGCACAGAGGGCCTGCGCCCACACTGCTGAGGGGACAGGGCTGCCCAGGCCCCCAGCTCAGGGCGGGTCCCTCCCCACAGGCTCTGGCAGCACGTCACCAGGGCCATCCACGAGGGAGACCAGCACAGGGCCACCCAGGAGAAGTGTGTGCTGGAGGAGGCCCAGCGGCAGCGCACCCGCGAGCACCAGCAGGGCCTCACGCCCTGGACCCCACAGCTGTTCCACCTGGACCCGCTCACCCACAAGTGGCGCTACCGATACGAGAAGTGAGCACAGCAGGCGGGACCTGGGGCCTGGGGCCTGGCCGCGGGGCTGGCCCAACCGACCACCCTCACCCTGGTGCCAGGCTGCAGGGGCTCCTGGCTCCTCCCCCTCCGACAACCCTCCCCCTGGAGGGGCAAGTGACAGGGAGGGAGGGCCACACAGGGCCCACCGGCCCTCTGGGGGCTCTGTCCACCCTGGGGAGGCTGAGGGCTGGGCCAGGACAGAACCCTCTCCCAGAGGGCCTCTGCCAACAGATGTCCTCTGGCCCCCCAGCCACAGCCCCTGGAATCCCCTGAAGGACGTCACCCAGTTTGAGCAGGACGGGATTCTGCACACCCTGCAACGGGAGACCGGGGCTCACAAGACCTCCTTCCTGGGCAGCCCGGAGTCAGGGCGTGAGGTTGGCATCCCCAGGGCCCGGTGCAGGCACATCCTCAGGTGCTTGTGCGGCTGCCCACATCTCCCCCCCCCCCGGGCCTGCTCCCTCCGCCACCTTCCACCCCCTTCCCACGCACTGCTGCACAGTGGGCCCCCCGACCTGGACCCTGGACTCCTGCCTGCCCAGTGTGGGACCCCACGTGAATGGATCTGCCGGGGCTGTGCAGGGCTGCCGCTCCCGCCCCATCCTGACCCAAGTCCACACCACGTTAGGAAGCACGTTGTCACGTTCCATGTTCCAGGGAAAGGCTCAGGGCAGCCCAGGGACTGCCCAGGCAGGAGGAGGAGCCGGCGTCTGGGCATGTCTGGGGGCTGGAAGGACGGGAGGGAAGGTACCAGGGCCCTGGTACAGACATGTCTTGGGGACACCTGGAGTCCTCCTGGATGCCTTTGCCACGTAGCGCCTGGTCCACGTGCACCATGTGCCCAGCATGTGCAGAGCCAGCTGACCGGCTGGTGTCCCTGCAGAGGGGTCAGCTGCTCTGTGTTACCATTGAGAGGGGAGAGGCCGTGGCTGCCCAGTCATGGTGGCAAGGTCCGAAGCACTCTGTCCGACTCCAAAGCCATGGGATTGGCTCTCTGTGTGCCACCTCCTCCAGCCCGGCCCTGGCACACACGGGCCACGGCTCCTCGAGGGATCAGTGTGAGCGTGGTAGGTGGCTCCCAGCTTCATTGGCTCCATTTTCCTGCAGAGGTCTGGCCCAGACCGGCGACTCCGCAAGGCCAGTGACCAGCCGTCTGGCCACAGCCAGGTGACGGAGAGCAGCGGCTCCACACCCGAGTCCTGCCCAGAGATCTCGGATGAGGACTGCGACTCTGCTCCCGGTGAGCCTGCCGTGGCCTGGCCCCCGCCCGGCCTGAGCTGGCTGGGAGGGCAGGGGAGGAGGACTGGCCCCAGCTCAGGTCCCCTGCTCCCTGACAAAGGCCAGAGAAGAACCTTCCCTGAGTGTGGCCAACCCCAGCCGGAAGCCGGTGCCTGTCCTGGGAGCCCTCCCAGCAGACTCTGCCCTCTCCGAGTCCGAGGGGTGGGCAGCCCCGGGGGCTAATGAGGGGTGTAGCCAGGACTGAGGGAAGGAGGGGCAGCAGGCCGAGGCCAGGGCCATGAAGGGGAGGCCAGGCAGTGTTCTGGCCCCGCCCTGCCCTGCCCCCTCAGGCTCTGGTCACTGGCTGTCACGGGGTGAGCTGTGTGTCCCCAACTTTGTCCCTGCCGCTGTGCCCTGGGCCACTTGTCTCCCAGGCTTGTCAGAGGCCAGCTGAGCCTGAGGAGTTCTCCAACACCCTCCAGCCCCTGCCTGCCTGCTCCTGCTGGATTTCCAACTGTGGGCAGGGCCCGAGCCGGCTGGCGGGACATCCCCACTCACCTGGCTCCTCCCTTCCTTCCTGTGTCTGCCTGTGCCTGGGGTGTGCAGCTGATGACAGCCCATGTCCTCGGTGCAGGAGGGAGGCGCAGCAGCTGCAGGCACTGCGGGAGGCCATGCTGTCCATCCGGGAGGCCCAGGAGGAGCTGCACAGGTAGGCCAGGCGGCCGGCCCCCAGCCAGGGCAAGGGGGGGGGGGAGGCCGGCTGCACAGGCCGGAGGCACACGGCTCCATGCGGGAGCTGGGCTTGGGAGCCAGTGAGAGGGCCCTGCAGACAGTGGGTCTGAACGGGATGAGTTCACAGTTTAGACAGAAACCGGGCCAGAGATTTTGAGGGCCGAGGTCTAAATCTGAGTAGCCCCAGGGTGGACCCCACGGTTTGTGGAGGCAGATGGCAGCTCAGGGGAGGGAGTATAGGTAGTAGCCCCTCCTTGGCACCCTCAGGTGCAGCTGGGCAGGTGAGCAGGCAAGGAGGGCCCAAGAGCCACACTCTGTGTCCCTGGTGGGTGGGCACCATCTGGGCCACCACAGGTGGAGCAGAACAGTATCCACATCATGCCGGGCTCCAGTCTGGGTTGAGGGACTCCCTGGCTGGGGACCCTGCGCTGTCACACCTCAGCCCCCACCTCTATAAAATGGAGTTGATGGCAAAACACCTGGAACAGTGGGTAAGGCAGGAGGCTGAGCCCCTCAGGCACCCGGAGAGCGTTTGGGCTCTGCTGTCCTTGTGGCTCCTCTCTGGCTCCTGAGACCTACCAGGGACAGGACACAGAGGGCAGAAATATTTCAGAAGTGGGACATGGGACAGTGAGTGTCCCAGGGCCGTGAGTAAGGCCTGTCCGCCAGGGCATCAGCTCCTGTGTTGTCAGAGACGGGACCAACAGGGCCCGACACAGACCCGGCCAGGGCGCTGTCCGGGGAGACCGTGAGGTCTTGCAGGCTAGAGGCCCCGGAACTGTCAGACAGGGCGGCCACGCCGGCCCCAGCCCACCTCCCTCCCTGTGTTGCAGGCACCTGTCGGCCATGCTGAGCTCCGTGGTGCAGGCTGGGCAGCCGGCCCCCGGCCTTCTGCAGAGCCCCCGCACCTGGTTCCTGCTCTGCGTCTTCCTGGCTTGTCAGCTCTTCATCAACTACATCCTCAAATAAGGGCCCCCCGGGGCAGCAGACCCCCCCCCCCGCCTGAGCCTCCCTCCCAGGCACCCAGCACTTTACGCCAGCCCCGCGGAGGCAGAAAGGCCTGGCCAGCTCGCCACTGTGGCAGAGGCCCACGGCAGGAGGGAGGGAGCAGGGGCTGTGGCCCAGGTGTGCAGGCCCTCTGGGGGCACTGGCCTCTCCTGCAGGGCCCTCCGCCCAGGGCGGCCTTAACGCTAAAGCCAAATGCAGCTTCCATTGTGTGACACGCACCTCGTCATTCCCAGTCCAGGCCCCACTTGCCACAGGGCACCAGTGGATTCGGGGCGGGAGGGCCTGCCCCGGCTGTGGACAGCTACCCGCTGGCAGCGGTGAGTGAGGTTTCAAGGAGAAAGCGGGGAGACCCCAGGAGTCCCTGGCGCATGGGCCCGACGCACTTCCAGAGACTCTGCTCTCGTTGCTGGGTTGCCCTGAGGGACCCCAGGAGGCTCTGGGACAGGCCGGGGCTCCCCGGGCAAGGACACTTGGGGCAGTTGTTCTGCCACTGTGCTGTTTGGTGGAAGGCCAGGACAGGTAGGTACTGGACCCTCCCCACCGACAGCCAGATGAGCCCACTGGAGCCAGCTGCCCGCGGGCGAGCAGGAGGGAGCCGGAGGCCAGGGAGAGAGTGAGCAGGAGGGAGCCGGAGGCCAGGGAGGCTCTGGCCAGGCTGCCCGGCCCACACAGTCTCCCCTTCCTTCACACTTCTTTAATAATGTGTAACTGCAATACGTCAGGCGGCCGCGCAGCCGTGAGCCTGTGGCGTCTGGCCCCAGTTCCTGTGTCCATGGCGCTCTGTGTGCGTGTGCGCGTGTGCGTGTGTGAGCATCTGCACATATTTACATCTGGAGCCTTAAACTACTCTGTGGGTGCCATCTCAGCTGTAGCTGACCCTTCATGTCCAAGTTTTGTACCTCGTTCTTGTCTCGTCCCCTCTCCCCAAGTCGGGGACCTGTCTATGCTCCATGCCTTGAAATAAATGGAACACATGTTGCGGGTTCTCTTCTTGGGGGGGGGGCTTCAGGAAGTGAGGGGGTCCTCTGGGAAGAGATTCAAAACCAGCGTGGGGCTGTCTGGGGTGGGGTGCAGAGCTCACATCACAGGGAGGGATTCAGGTGAGGTGGCCGGGTCCTGCACCCACCCAGTGAGCCTGCTGAGGGTACAGGAGGGGACTCAGGGAGGCCCAGGACTGGGCAGATGAGGGAGGGGACATTGGTGGGGCTTGTGCCCTGGGGCCTCACAAAGGGGAGCCCTGGCCAGGCTGCTGACCGCTGCCCCTAGCCCTGCTCTGGTTCAACCGTCCCTGTCCTTAACCACCAAGGCAGAGATGCGGGACCGCCCTGTGCTGGAGGACCCTGAAAGAGAATGGGCCCCAACCCTGACCCCACACCACCTCCAGGGAAGGGCTGCACACAGAGGTCCCAAGAGACCAGAGGGATGAAGGTCATGGGCAGCACCGTGAGAGGGGACCTAAGGGTGCCTCTCTACCTTAGTCCTGGTGTCCCAGGAGAGAGCAGGGGCAAGGAAGAAGCAGCCACCCCCGCCTCCCCAGGAGCCCCCAGAGGACGGTGCTCCAGAGCAGGCCACAGACAGGAGCTCAGGCAGGTGCCTCTGGTGGGAGTGTTCTGCCCTGGACCCCTGTTCCCGGTGCAGACAAGTCCTGACCCCCTCGCCATCCCTCCTGCACCCTGGGCCCACTGACAGCCATGGGGCCTGTGCCCAAGGGGGACTCTACTTGTGCCTTATTCTTGTATGGCTCTCATTGGTGCCTCACACTTACAGAGAACAGTGGATGCACTGTGAGGAGTTGCACGAGCATGCCACAGTGTGACCAGTCTCCTTCCCTCCTCCTCCCTCACCCCTTCCTCCTCCACTGGCCTCTCTTTTATTATTTTTTTAATTAGTGCATTATAATCATACATCAAAGCGGGATTCAGGCACCGTGGGATCCAACCACAAAGAATTGGTGAAGATTTGGGGTTTACCGCCCACGATGGTGGTGAGATCACAGAGAGACACAGCCACTCTGCTGCTGACAGGCCACGGAACAGGCCAGCGCACCAGGAGAACACTGGGTGACAGGCCAGTTCCTGTGTGTAGTAGGACCAAGTGTGTGAGGGCAGAGGTGGCCGCAATCTCACTTTGGACCCAGAGCTGGCACGGTACCTTTCAGGGATTGGCCCCCACAGGGTTTCCAAGATGTGGGTTGAGCTGCTGTCTCAGTAGCGGGGTCTCAGGGGGTTTTCACGGGAAGCAGTGTGACCAGCCAGGTGGCATCTGTCCTGTGGTTTTAAAGACCAATGTGAAGTCGGTTTCTCCAGGGAAAAGCGCAACAGTAAAATCCGCGCCTGGCTAGGGGTCATCAGGAAGGGCTCCCAGGAGGCTGTTAGTGCCTCCAGCTGCACGGGGGACCAACCTGCACCAGTGTAAATGACCCAGGTGTCCGGGATGAGCTCCACTCCCTTCCTGAGTGACCAGCCCTCTCTGCCCAAGCCTGCCTTGGCAACTAGGGCTAGAAGGGGCTGCGTAGACACCGCAGCCTGAGCGGGCAGAGGCCCGGGACTCTGGGGTGTGACTGAGGCCCCCACTGTCAGGGGACAGATGGTGGGAACACGAGATTAAGAGAATAATCTTATCAAATGAGCCCAGTGTACTGACCCCCACACCAACCTGCCTGCAGCCCCACCTGCCTGAGGGGACAGGAGATGTCACCTTCCAACAAACTGAGTCGGTGGTGAAGGCCTGGCAGTCAGTGTAGGTCCTGAATGCTGGGGGTTGAGAGGTGAGGGCTGGTCATCCAGGGAAGACAAGGGGTGGCTAACAGCTGACCTCCAGGACCTCACTCCCGCCCTGTTCCTGCTCCTTCCTGCCCTTAGGCAGGTACAGGGAGAAGAAAGAGAAGGAGGGGGTTCTGAGGTCCACAAAGAGGAAGATGCACCCCACTCCCCCGGGCACCCAGCTCTGGGCCCCCTTCTCTCCAGAGAAGTCCTGTGTCCTGCTGTCCCTGTGTCTTTTCTTAAATAAAACTTGCTTTCTACGCTTGCCTTGGCATTTCTCGGGTGTTGTTTAATCGTCATCACCAGGAAGGAGGACCCGTTCCTGATCTCCACGACCCTATCAGCACCCGCTCCTCCCTCGCCCTGCACGCTGCCCGGCCTGGAGCCCAGAGCATATTGCGGGAATGGGGAGAGGAGGGACAGGGCAGGGTTGCTGATGGGCCACCTGAGCTGAAGCAGGTCCCCTGCCTCTGCTGGTGACTTTGTGCTGGCCCAGGAGGAAGACCCCAGGGATGCTTCCTTTGCACCTGCTGAGTAGGACTGGGGGAGCAGTGCCCTCTCCAGGGCTGAACTTGGGGTGCACCTGGAGAGGAGTGAAGGTCGGGGTGCCCCTCCCACTCCCTAGGAAGGGGGCAACAAGTTAATCCTCTTGGACGAGAAAGGGCCCAGGCAGGCCACGCATGGGGAGAAGCCGTGAACTGCTAGGTCAGTGTGACCAGCCAGGTGGCATCTGTCCAGTGCTGCGCACAGGGATGCCTGGGGCCTCTCCAGCCACCAGAACAGAGGGCAGGGACTGCTCCAAATGTGTGGGCACCAGGGCCGGTAAAGAAGTACTCTCGGTCCAGGGGCCTCTTCTCAGGAAGTGGCTAAGGGGCAGGGCCCAGAGCTGGCCGGCCAGAGGGCAGAGGAACCAACCCAGCGACTAGCCAGGTGGGCAGCAGCTACCCCAGAGCTGCTTCAGCCTTGTCCCCAGCAGTGAGTCCACCAAGTCTCACGTGTCCCGTGTTCATTTCTCCAACAAGCAACATAAATCTGGACCTACTGATGCGAGATGAGATGCCCGGGGCCACCTCAACTCTCCCGAGTTGCAGAGGGAGCCACACACCGAGGAGGCCCGAGGAAGGCTGAGAGGTGAGACCCATGCCCAGGAAAACCTTCTACAAGAAAGGTCTGGAGGGAGCCGTCCAGGAGCGGAGGACATGGCTGGGTGAGGGCTTCCGAGAGCACCAGAGCCCTGGCCTGCGTCTCCAGCCCCACGTGCGTGCAGAGAAAGGCCTTGGCCATTCCCAGGAGGTGACCCCGAGGGCAGCAGGTGAGCCTGCAGAGCAGTGATCCCAGCCCCACTCGCACCCCGGAGGCGAGGAGGAACCCCCCGACCATGACAACCCCCACCACTAGGTTCAGGTACGATCCACCAACAGAAAATGTGGGAAACATTTAAAAGCCCAGATCCGGCCTCCGGAGTACGGCCTCTCGATACTGTTTCCTACTGGGAAGAACAAGGCTCCCTGGAGAAGTGGGTGATTTGAGGTCTAGGGTGGAACACGTCCAGGCACCCATGGGGTGACGGCGGAAAGAAGGACCCTTGCAGAGCTTAGCATATCGGGGGGACCCGGGAGCCAACTCTGGCCCCTACAGCCCGAGATGGGACACCTGAGTAGTGTCCTACTGGTCAGGAGCTGTCTGGCTGCAGCGCTGTGTGTAGTCCCTTGACTTGACACAGGGGGGACCATCAACAAGGGGACCCTAACCCCAGGGCCCCCAGGGCCACGGCTCTGCTGGGGCCACCGCCCACTGTGAGCCAGGAGCTAGGGTCCCTGGCCAGCCATGTCTCTCCTGCTTGAACACCGTGCTGAGCCGGGCAGCCCTGACGCCATCGTCTAGCCTTTCCTCTCTGTGGTAACTGTTGCTTCTGGTTTCTTTTACTTTCCCTTTATTTCCCTCTTTTTCTCAAAAAAAAAAAAAAAAAACTACAAAATTAGTGAGCTGTCCCCCCCACCCCGTGTTTCCTTTTGAGGGGGCTGGGTTCCTTGGGCAGGTTCTGAAGCCCTGCTCTGCTCTTTTTCAAGGTGGCCCCAGCCACCTGCGACCCCACAACTTCACACACGCTTTAGACTCAGCCTGCCCCTCCTACCAGGAAGCCACTGGGGCCACTGGGGCCACCTGGGATCTGCAGGTCAGCACTGGGGGTCCTGCCTTTGCAGCGGCGGCCGGTCTGAGGGTCACGAACAGAGGGTGCTTTCCATGTCCTCAGAGCGCGAGCCTTCCAGCAGTGTCCACACTGTCCAGAGCAGGCGCTGGCCACTAACCTCTCTCCTTTCAATCCTGCTACGTTTGGATATGGTTGGCCCCTCCCCCTTCCCCAGGAAATCATCTAAGCCACCGCGCCACGTCCTCATCCATAGAGAAGCCACGATTCCGCGTCCCAGGGTGCCCCCAGGTTTGTGGCACCACACTGGTCACAGTGAGACCCCGAGATCGGGATGCTGCCAGCCTCAGTTGCCCTCCACGCACCCCAAGAGGGAGCCAGGAGACCCCTCCGGAGTCAAGCTCATGAACGGGGCTGTGAGAAGCCTGTGAGTCCAGCCCTCCTGGCCTCTCTCTGTGTTGTGGGAGGAAAGCCTTGGGCCCGGCCAGGCTCGGGCAGCTGGCACCCACTGTCAGTCAGCTTTGGGTCTCTATGACCAGAATACCCGATGGAACATCGTAGGGGAGGAAAAGTTTATTTTGACTCATGGTTTTAGAAGTCTCAGCTCACGGTCAGCTGACTCCATTTCTCTGGGACTCGGGTGAGTAGGAACATCATGGCAGAGGGTGTGGCCAGACAGTTGTCAGCTCCCGGAGCCAAGAAGGGGGGACCAGGAGAAGATCCAGCCTCTCTCCCGGGACATGCACCTTGTGACCTGCTTCCTCCAGCTGGGCCCACCACCCCACCGGGTCCACCCGCTGTCGATGGATTAATGGATCACATGGGTTAATCCACTGAGGAGGTCGGAGCCCTCGTGACCGGGTCATGGCCTCAGAGCCCTGCTGCACTGGGGACCACACCTTCAACACAGGAGCTTCTGAGGGACTTTCCAGATCCAGACCATGGAAGCTACAGGGACATGTGCTGTTCAGCCATGAAAAAGTGGGAGAAAACAGAGGCCCCGCCAAGGAACTTTTTGCTGGGAAAGTTTACAAACATGTTGGACAGTCAGAGAATAGAGCAGTGGG